AGGCATTTTCAGAAATCTCAGATAGTTTGAGACCATGGCACAAGAGTCACAGTAATATAAACTGCAACTTAACTGTATATCCCCATTCATAACTGTAATAATTAGAGGTCTGAGTGGGTTTTGCCTAAAGTTTATCTGCTTATGAAGAAAATTGCACTGGTCTAACACCACATCACAATCACTTTGTAACACATCATACAATGAAGTCCAGTCCTTAACTATTGCACCTTCTGCTGGACACAGTGAGAATATTCACATCCTCTCCTAAGCTTCCTCGCCTCTAATTGTCTGATCTACTTTTCCTGTTTATATCTTGCACTCTGGATTTGAATCGGGAGTTAGAAGTGGGAACCATAGCTATTGGAAGTGCTTCCTTCTCTATTTTCTACCAAGCATACCTTGGATAACCGATCAGCAATGCAACCAGCTGAGAGAACAACCAAAGGGAGACATTGCCAAGCTCTTCTCAGCTGAATTAGAATAACAGAGAATAAGTAACCTGGATTGTATTTAGAAACTCACAAGTCCACTGCTTGGCCTGACTGTGGGTGAGAAGAAGCCCCATCCAAGGTGACACCCAATTCTTCTCAGCTGAAATAAACTGAATTTCTACCAATGGGAGCCAGGTTTCACAAGCTACAACAGGGAAAGCATTCACTGGACAGAGACTGTGTGAGCACACATAAGAGACGAGACTGGAGCCCATTTTTCATCATGTTGAAATGTAACAGCTTTTTACTCTGTTTCATGAGTCAGTGTTCCCAATGGAAAGAGCACACACGTCATGGTTTGGCACTGCACCCCACTCCACTTCCTACCAGCCCCATCCCACAATGAATTTAGGACAGCCATTTGGTTTACCTCTTCAAGGAGGGGTTTGTGGCAGTGGTGGTCTCCAGGAGCAGGAGGGGTGGCAAGGCAGAGATGTGTCTCTCCTTGCAGTCCATGCAGCATAAACCACCACTGTAAGGAAAACAAATGAGCCCAGAAAGCAGTTGGGAAACTGGAGAGAAAGGTCTCCTCCTGGCATGAGTCAAGCTCCAAAACAGGTCAAAGAGCTATTCTGGTTTGCAATGGGTACAAATTGTCCACCAGAACCTATGACAGTTTTTCTCCCCACTGATTCATTCCCAAGTATGTCACTGGGCTAATGGACACAAGGATGCTGTGGCTGCTCCCACTCACTCAACGTGCAGGACACAGGGTTTTCAACAGAAAGTTGCCTTTCATGGTGCTTCATGTCTCACTAACATGGCAAAGTATCCCTGAGCTGCTAAACTGGGAGGGTTTCTATTTTGGCCACAATATGCATCTGGGAGGGCTGCAAAACTGTCGAAGTGCTCGTGGCCTAATTAAAAAATAAAAATAAAAATAAAAGGAACCAGCTCTACACTCAATCTCAAACCTAAGACAAGCCTTTGCTGAGTTAATAATCTTGCCAAGAGGTCTCTGGATCCATACTGCCTTATATTCTCTCAATCCTAAACTCCTTTCTCAGGGTCTTTTGGATAAATTCATCTCACCTGTTATCTCAGGTGCATCCTTCCATAGGGTCTAGAGCGATTAGACACACAAAAACATCACATATCACATGTGAGGGAAGTGCTCCAAACTATGGGACTTCTTAACATTTCCTTTTCTGCCTCTTTCCCCCAGTCACACTCATGTTGTGAATATACTACTAAATATCACAGTTTATCCTCAAAGTCCCAATCTCTTTGCCTTTGCCTGCAAAAATTATTACATTTTATGGGTTTTAGTTAATTTGGGCTGCCTGAATAAACAATTTTCCAGGCCAAAATATTAAAACTATAAAGCCATAAACGTGATAACTTGATTTTCCCCAAATTATTCCTCCTGCTGACTGATTGTGGTGCTATAGAGCTGACCACTCCACACATGACAGTGCACATTCTGCAGTGGCAAGGGCTGATATCAACTCCACCAGCAAACACAGAATATAAACAGCAAAAAACCCAGTAGGTTTCAAACATTAATGGTGAAGGACACCAAATTCTATTACATATACTACAGGGACAAGAAGCTACAAGTTGTTAAGGGACTTCCAGCTACATCTGTGATATACAAGGAAAGTCCTCAAGTAACTCTGAGTAAGAAGACCTCTTTTTGAACCAAAAGCTTTGGTTTTTAAGTCGCCCCTCCCACTGCATGACTGCTTCCCAAGAAGGCTATTACTTGGAAAAGCATCATTTGAAATTATGTGGGATACAACACAACCAGAAGAAAGTGGTCCTGCGGTGTGCTGTTAAATTGATCAGACTAGATATGGTGGTATTTCTGGAATTCAGCCTCTAAGTGGTAAATTTAATCATTTAGTAGAATCTAACTTCTGTGCTAGGTGCCTAGAGACAGCATGAAATTTAGAAGGGAAAGCAGTACCACTTTCTCCATCATATAAAATATACTGAGAGAAATAAATTTGAATTTAAGGTTAAACATGTCCATATCTGTTTATTTTTCCTTCCCCTTCTCTGCTTTACACAGAGAGTTTCCTATGCTTTACAGTCTTGATCTCAGTGGCTTCCTAACAGAGCCTGCAAAATTCCTTATCACAGTTCTCCTCTTCCCATCTGGCCAGATGTGTTCTCCAGAGCTTGTGCTGGACTTCAGGTGGGATCCTTGTCCCTTCTGAAGTCAGTGGAAGGTTTTCCCTGGGCTTCTGTGGGAACAGGACTCCATCTTTTGTCACACGCTCTCCAGGATGCAACAAGATGCTCTCTAGGATGTCACATCCTGGAGATGTTCCTATTATCTGGACTCAAAAACCTAAATGGTGAAGCCAACTGCCAGTTCCCATGCTCTTCCCAAAAAGAGGTGCAAAATGAAGCACATCTATCACAAATGTCATAGCTTAAGTAAACAATGGATCTTTTTTTCTAAAGTGAAGGTATGCTGGGCATCCAAATAGCTAAATATATAATCCTTAATTCCTGCCTGGAAGGAATAGGATTTGTCTTACATCCATGCATAAATCAGGACATGGCTCCTTATACTTACCTTGACTGTTTTAATGTGGGTTTTTTTTTTTTAAAAAAAAAAAAAAAAGCTTTGAGCTAATGTTTCCTTGACATTTGTTTATCATAGCCTAGATCCTTGAAAAAGAGACATGCTTTCAACAGCACACATCTTAAAAAAGCCTGGGAACTCTTAACTATGGGAAAAATGACAAGGCTTCAGGATGACTCATCATTATTTGCAAAGATGTTGGAAGAAACTGGGGAACAAAGACTAATTAATGTGTTCTCCACTCTTTCATAGATTTCCATCTGCTCTGCCTCACTTTCTGAAGGCCTCAGCACACGCAGAAGTGTTTCTCTGCCTGCAAAGAGGCTGCATGGGCAGGACTGGGGCTGCTCTCAGGCCTGCCCTCTAGACTATTTACAAGAGCTTGTAGTCCAGGACAAGGGGGAATGGCTTCACACCGACAGAGGGCAGGGGGGCTGGAATCAGATGAGCTTTGAGGTCCCTTCCAATCCAAACCGTTCTAGATTCCTGTGAAACCAAAGCAGCCTGAGGTTGCCTGGGGAGGTGGGGAATGCCCACCCTTCTGGTACAGGCAGTGCAACCAAGGATCCTTAGTGCTTTCCAGGTAAGGCACCAGGGCACACTTGGGGCCACAGCCTCCCTCTTTGAACTCTTAAACACAGCCCCTTGCTAAATGCAGGGCATTCCCACTGTAACTGTGTCTTTCTGCTCTCAGGACACGGGCACAGCAACCTGGCAAACAGCTGAAGGGCGGAACACTAGAGCCAGACACAGGAGTCCTCCACTGGAGCACACACCCTCAGCCCCCCCAGTGACCCTGCAACTCACGGCTGGCAGCTCTGTGCACTTTGCCAGTCAGTGCCATACAACGTAAAGCTCCTTAGGTGAGTGCTGGAAAGGAGCAAGGATGTTTTTCAGTGCTGCTGGATCTGGAGAAGCAGGCACAAGTGCAGATTGACGTGCACCCTATTAGCTGGTCTTCAAGACCTTCCTTGGAATACTACTAACCCCTCCCTCTCAAAGGAATTCACCAGACATACCTGGAGGATCTCCCAACTTCTTCAGACAAATCAGCTCTGCAATGACCTTCCTCCAGCCTGGTATTCTGAGTACTAACTATGGAAGACAGGTAAGTTGAAAATAAACTGGAAATTCTTTCTAAATGTCTTTTTCTTGAGACTATAAGAACATTTTTGCAAATGCTGCAAAGAGTCATGTTCTAGTGAAGAATGCTTCATTAAAAGCTCTTAGGAGACCAACAAAGACCTGAAAAATGGATGAGTACAATTTACAGTAAGAATTTTCTAAAAAGGGAAAGAACTTTTCCCTCAACTTGATCAGGGTTCCACATCCTCCCCAGTTTGTCAGCTCTGGAGCAGTGTCTCATAGGGAAGAAATCCAACACCCTGAATTTTCTCTTCCCTAATGGAAGTTAGGGAGTGAAGTTTCTTATTAAAAAAAATAATTAAAAATTGTAGTAACAGTTTTGTACCTTTCTATGGAAGAAACCAAAACAGTCCCAGTGGACTAAACCAAGAATCTGCTCATCTGTCACTTCTAATGACAAAAAACTGCCAACATTGAAACTTATAATTTCAGAGTCAATATTACTGCTCATCTTTGCAGGAGATGGAAGAAAAAAAATTCATGTTATTTGCTACAGCAGAGCCCACAGGGCCCTTGTTTTGAAGTGTTACTTAGTCAGTTCTACTAACCTTATCCACACTTAAAGTCACTGTATCTTGATCCAAATCAGCTTGAAGTCAGAAGGCTTGTAACTGATACAGTGGGAACTGAATGAAACCCTGGAGAGAGAAACTGAATGGGAAATGGGTTTTAAAGAGAGACCTCTTGCCCCCAAGGCGAGACGGTCCTAGGAAACTACAGTAACACATTGTTCTTGTTGAGCCTTTTGCCAAGGCCAAGAGATTTTAAACAAACATAGCTCTAAGACAGCAAAGGCAAAGATTTCCATTTTTCCCCCAGACATTAGGTCAGCTGCAGTATCCTATTGACTTTCTGCTATCTCTGCAGAGTATTTCCGGTTTCAGCTGGTGGCACAGAAGACATGAAAACTTGCATTTTGCAGCTCGTCTGAAAATGAAACCCCTAAGGCTCTATGTGAAACAGTTACTCACAAGGCAAAAGGTTTTGAACCTCTCAAACGCCCACTTGGCTCTTGCATTACATTGTGAGGAATTATCTTCATTTAGAAAAATTGGAAGACTTCTAAGTTCATGAGAACAAAAAGAGGGTTTCCACCAACACAGTGACAACAAAATCTCCACATAAATACAAAAAGATTTCCCAGAACAGAAGTAAAAGCCATGCAGATTTGAGAGCACAAATATTTCCTATTTCTCAAGAAACACAAGTGTTCAACATACTAACTCTGAACAAGACAAGCAGTGAAGCTGCTCTCCAAAGAACTCCAGAAATACTGAATATTCATTTTGCTGACGTGAATCTCACAAAGCATAGAAAAAAATCTCACAGGACCCTGCCTTCCTATCTGCACAAGAACAGGGACAATCTGAACAAATGACATTTCCCTATGCTAGGGAACCAAGCTTAGGTCTTGCTTCTGTAAGTAAACTGCATTCCCAGAGCCACACTACAAGGTACTGATCTGCTGTTCAGTCTTTTTCCACTCAACAACATGTTTTCATTTCAAATCAAGATCTCCCTCTGCTTCCCCAAGCTGGGCATTGTTTTCTTTTAAATCAGCATCTCTTCTTGCTGTGTGAATGCCCAGGCTGAAGGACAGATGAGGACTCAGAAAGATCTGGCTGCCTGTGAAATTTTTCAGAGGAAAGACTAAGGTGCTTGTGGTAAACTCAGCATCTCCAGACAAATATCTGAGGACCTGTGTAACAGTTTGTTAGGATACATGCCCGGAATAAAGACAGGAACAACAAACATTCAAACACACAAAGTATCTTTTTATTATGGTGAGAATAATAATAATAATAAACTTAGCAAAGAGAAACAAAAAACAAAAAAGAATACAAAATAACTACCTTATCGGGTGACATTAAAACAAATACTACTAACAGCATTTAATACAGTATAATATTAACTAGTAAAAAGGGAATTAAAGGATACCAAAAAAGGATCTTAACACAATATTACGGATAACTATTAACACGATACCGGTTAGTAAAAAGGGAAATCAAAGGGAAATACTATGCACAACTTATTTATGTAACAATATTCAAAAATAAAAGGGGAATTAAAGGGACACTAAAAGGGATATTAAAAAATTTGCTTTCTCAGTTGCTTCCTATCAATAAACTGCGCTTACCCACACAGACAGGCCAGGGCTCTCAGGATCTGCAGCAGCTGGTGATGCTTGAGTGGCAGCCAAACCCCGCCTGTTCATCACCTGATAGCAACAGTCTGTGCATGCCCTGCTGTAGGGCAAGGGGTGAGTGACCCCTGCCCACATCATCTTCCTCTCACCATCATCTTCCTCACCCCTATGTATGCCCTCTACCACTGTGTTTCAAGGGTAGATGTATTATCTTGCAGTAAAACAAGATAATATTACTGCAATAATACAAGATGTATTATCTTGCAAGCAAAACCAAGGAAGAACTCACCTCTGATAATAGGGGATATCAAGCTGACTTGCTAAAAAGCACAATGGACCTTACAGTTAACTTGTGCCATGAAGTTGCATTGTACAATACTCTAGTTGGTTTCACATCCTAATATGAATTCTTTCTCACGCCTCTACGCTCCACTGATCATCTAATTCAAAAGTACCCCCCTTACAACCTGTTCTCGACGGAGCTAAACATAAGTATTCTGAAAAAGGGCTGCTTGAGGGAACAGGTGGAATTTTGAACAAAAGAAACAATCCCGACCATGAGGATACAGACTCCCCTATGTCTTCCCTTTTCAGGTTCACAAACTGCACCATGACTTTTCTCTTTTAGCAGCATGTGTGGGAAATAGGGCCTAGAAAAAAACATACCTTTGCAGAGAATGGAGCGGCTCGTTACAGGGTTGAGCTGCAACTCCTAAAACTGCCATTTCAACTCCTGTTTCAACTGCCATGACATCTACCAGCCAATCAGATGCTGTGGTCACAGCTTTTACCTTATCAGGTATGATTGTCTGTTGGGTTATAAAAGCAGGGCTGAGACTCCAATAAACTTGTCTCAGCTTCACCCCCCTGCCTCTGTGCCTCAATGCGCCACAGCACGCAGGTGAAACAGTGAACTCTCTACCATCATCAAATATCTTCTTGCTCTCTTGGCTCTTTTACATTGCAGCTGCTCAGAAAGTCTTGTCAGCTTGCAAATCCCACCCATGCCTTCCTGCAAATCCTTTCCATCCATGTCTTCACATCCCAGAAATAAAAAGATTAGAAAAGGGTCTGCTGTTGTGCTTGTACTGATCATTGTCATCACTCAGCTTGTTCACAGGAAAGGAGGAGTCCAAAAAAGGAGAGCAATAATCCATAACAGTTTGTCTGCACAAATAACTTTGCAAGAGAGATTTTGCCTGCTGATAGCAATCCTTCAGTCCACACAAAAAAAAATCACTGCTTGTGGGACAAAGAGCCACCACAGAACCTTCTTCTGTTCCTATATGAAATAAACAAAAATAGGACTGGCCGGTCATCTGTGGTCTCCTATTATGAGAGCACCTACACTCACTCAGATCCCAAAGGGAAGAAAAGAGTTTTATTGTATCCTGAGGAGGAATAAACTGCTTGGGATCAAAAAAACCCATAAAATTACACAACCAGTGGCTTACCTCTTCTTCTGGCACGCACCATTTTCCACACCAATTTCAGCAGCACTGATTGTGTCACTGCACATCTACAGAACACACACTTACAGCTCTACCATTAAAATAAGTTCTCAGTAAATTTCACTGCTGAGGGAGAAAAACCCCATTAACCACATTACATCTCAAGCCTGCTTCCACTGACTAGGTTTGGTTGTTGCTGGTTCTGCCTTCTTTCTCCTCTTTGCTCATAAACTGGGCCATCTTTGCAGCAGACACCAAATGACTGACTTCCCTCCATCCCGGAACATCGCCATAGGAGGCCCTGTTTCAGCTTCTGCTGCTTCTTCCTTCCACTCCAGAAAGGCCTGCATTTTGAGTTCAGAAGCCCATGCCCGTGTTTTTAATGTGCCTGCCTGGAGGAGAGGTTGAGCAGCTGCACCCCAAGGCTCCTGTGCCATAGCAGTCTCTAAGGATGGCGCCAGCGCCACTGCCTTGGGATGCCTGAGTGTGGAAGGTGAGTCTGCCCTCAGGCACGGCCACGGAAGTCAGTCAGGACGACAGGCTGCCCCTGAAGCTGCCAAGTGTTGCTGTGAGGCTGGGCAGTCAATAGAGAGGCCTCGTGGCCCCTTTTCCTGAAGCCTTTGACCAAAGCCGGTGCAGTTGTGCCCACAGCATGCCCGCTTTTGGCATGCTGGCCGGTGTGGGTGCTGCAGTCAATTGTGGAAAGAACGACGTGACAAACTCAAGAGGTTCCAGCAGAGTGGTGATTAGCTCAGAGCTATCACAATTTATTGGGGGGGGTAGCTCTATTTAAGGGGTAGGTAGGGAAGGTTCTGGAAAACAGGGAGGAGCATGGGACTGACAGGGGTGATAACCAACTGGGGAAGGAAGGAGAGAACATGGGACGAGCAAGGCCCAATGAGGGAAACATCTGCAATGCAGCAAACTTGGACCAATAGGAAAATGGGGATTAAACATGAGGGGAAAAATACAATAAAACTTGAAAAACCCAGGATACAACCATTTTAACACAGGCACTAACAATATTAAAACTGCCTTCCCGGTCTAACTGTCTTTCTATGTCCAGCATCACAATGTTTCAGTTCCTGGCAGGTGTTCGGCCCTCACTGTCTCTCTGAGCGTCTCTTTCAACTGCTCTGGCCATCTTTGAAACTGCTTTTCTTCCTTCCATGTGCCTGCCGCCTGTGGGTGCCTGGCTGAAGAGGCCCAGGCGTTGTGGCTGCTGCTGCTCCTGTGCACAGCCTGCTGTTCTTGTCTGTGGCTTGGGCGGCAGCGAATGTGCGGCCCTGCCTGAGGAGCCCCGCGCCCTCCCCGTGCTGGCAGCACCTCCACGGGCCCAGAGCTCTGGCTCAGCAGGCTCTGGGCCACAGCCCCATGGGCTGGGCAGCCACGGGGGCCTGGGCTGGCCCACGGCCCTGCCTGTGCCCCTGCCCCTGGCCGGCACCCAAAAAAAGCTCCTGGGCCTCTGTAGATGACAAGATTTGTTTAATATTTCTACACTGGGGTAGAAGGAAGGGCTTGCAGAGAAGAGGCGTCTTCCCCACAGGCTCAGGTGGCCCCAACAGACAGAGCTGCCTGCATCAACTCTGCACACAGCTACAGCGGCACAGGCAGACTCAGCCCCACAGAGAAGGCCGGGTACTCCATGCCCTGCTGAGCTGGTCTTGGAGCTGCTGGAACCTGGGGTAGGGAGCTCTCTGTACAGCTCCAACAAAGGAGATGGTTTCAAGCGCCAGCTTGGAGACAGTGGGGCTGCTGTCATCTGTCGTGGCTTGAAGGGCTGGAACAGAGAGGAACAGAGACAAGGTCAGAGCCCAGATCAGTGGGGACCCGAGGAGCCCCTCCTGCCAGGGCCATCCCACCCAGCTCTTGCTGTTGCCAGGAGGGAGCAGGGCCCAATGGGATCAGCCAGAAGGTGCTGGCCACCAATACCCCCCGTGCCTCTGAAATCTCTCTCTGCTCTGCCCGCACTGCCCCTCGTCCGGACAGGGAGCAGAGCCCTGCGCAGCCAGAGCAGGACTGCAGCTCCCTGCCCCGGGCTCTGTGCTCCCCTCACCAGCCCCCAGTGCCCTCACTCACCATCGATGATGAGCTGCAGCTCTTGGTACTGTCCCCTCAGGTACCTCCCGGCGATCCCTGGGAACACAGATCCTGTCAGGGCCCCAGCGGCACAGCTCCCCCCCGGCGGATCTGCCGGCCCGGCCACGCACCCTCCTGCCCTGGCAGGGCTGAGCCCGGGGCCTTCCCGCCTCGGGACTCCCCAGGGCTGGGCTGGCACAGGGCGGCAGCCACCAGGGCACTCGGGGCTCCCCAGCACATCCCCGGGCCGCATCCTGCTGCCGCTGCAGCGGGGCGGGGAGGGACCTTGTGACTCACCAATGAACTTGAGGGCCGCCTCTCGCACGGACTCCTGTGGGCTCTCCAGGTACAGCAGGG